GAAGCTCCAAAGTCCAAAATCCATTTAGTACCAGGAATTGAATTAAAAGAAGGTCTAATTGAAAGGTGCAAACCATTGACAATTGGATTGGATTCAATACAATTGCTTGAAGGCTGGTTCTGTAATAAAGAGAGAATTTGGTGATATTGATCAGCAGTAAACTAGAATGCCTTAGCTAATTTGTCTGAAACCTGATTGACATTAGTATTTGAATTTCCTTGCTTCAAATGAGTATGATAGCCATGAAGTTTGAAACATTTGTCCTTGATGTGACCAAGCTTCCCACAGTGCTCACATTTCTTTAGTGGGATTATTAGTTCTATTGGTGGAATGGGATCCATCAACAAAATTTTTCCACGAATATGAGAGTATCCCTCATTTAAACCCATCAAAAACAACATTGCATACTAAGATTGATGATGATCAATCCAAGGTTTGATGCCACCACAAGTGCATGCCTGTGAAGGTTTATATTATGCCAATTCTTCCCATAAGGCTTTGATCTTGGTAAAATAATGAGTGATATTAAGCGAACCTTGCTTTAGAGTCACCAAATCTCTTCGTAATTGAAACACACGAGGCCCATTGTGTTGCTGAAATCGAATTCGAAGATCGTTCCAGATGGTAGTGGCTGAAGAAGAATATATGACACTTGCTTGAAGATCTTTCGAGATAGAATTTAACAGCCAAGAAGCAACAATATTCTTGTTTCTTTGCCAAGAATGGTACGATTTGTCTGTCGGCAGCAGTTTAGGGATTGTGCCATCAATGAAACCAATTTTATTCTTTCTGCCAAGCGCCATCAAGATCGCTCTACTCCAAGAATTATAGTTGTCACCATTTAGGGGTTGGGAAACAATAAATGCTCCTGGATTGTCCGATGGATGAAGAAAGTAAGGATTTGCATAATCATTAGTAGGTAGTGTTGAATAATTGTTTGCAGAAGCCATCACGAACGGAAGTGGAGGAGGAAAAGAACATGAAAAGAATCGCAGTCGGAAGCGAAAGCAAAAGGGGAAGAAAAAGCCCTATTCTCCTGATACCATATTGACAATATAGAAGCAAAATTGACGAAAGGAGAAGAGATAATACTCTGTTATATTTCAATGAAATAAAATACATCTCATATATATAGATATGAGAAATAATAGGCTATAAAAAAATAGAAAAGGTTACAACTTAACAAATTATAAAAAATTAACTAATTTACAGCTCAGCAAAATGAAGACTTAATATAATCTAATATTAAGCTCCACGATCTAAGAGACGTAAGAGTCAATAACATCAATAAATTAATGATATTGGTTGGTGCAATCTTTCACATCAGTTTCACGTAGCAACGATAAAAATATTTCTTTTAAAGGATAATGTTGAGTCATATTATATCAATTTTTATTTTTTTTGCATCAATCGGTGTCCCACTACGAGTCAAAGTGAATTTAATAATTTATTTTACAAAATACGTCAATATTAGGGGTGTTTATGGATCGATTTTTTTTAAAAAATCTGAACTGAATCAAACTGTTTTATAAATGTGGATCGGTTAATCGATCCATTTTTTATAAAGCAGATCGATTTGGATTTTTTAAAATATGGATTGATTTTTTTGAAATTGGATCTGTTCAGTACGGTGCAATTATCCATTTTTGCTTATATATGGATCAATTTTTTAAAAAATCAAACCGAACTGAACCAATCCACTTTGTAAAAATGAATCAAATAACTGAACCGATTTTATAAAATGGATCATTTCGGATTATTTTTCAAAATAGATCAGATTTTTCAATACAGATCAATTATGAATCGATTCGGATTAATTTGAATTTTTTTCACCCTCCTAGCCAATATGATCAATAAGTTGTAAACTCAGCATATTAGACCTTTCTTACACACACACACACACACACACACACAGATATATATATTTACA